AGGACGGCGATTCGGGGCCGAGCGGGGGCAGAGAGGCGAGGAGAAGGGCGAAAGAAGGGGGGGGAAAGACAAACTGCACATCACCAGGCGCTGCGGGCCTGCGGAGCAGGTCCAGGCTGTGCCCAGGCCAGGACCATCCCTGTGCTGAGCGGGACAGGGCTCAGCTGGGCCACCTCTGCCCACGTGCGCTACCTCTCCCTGCATGCAGCGCTCTTTGCCTCTCCTCTCTGCCCACCGCAAAAGCCCTTTCCCTGTTGCAATACAACCACTGCTTCTGGGAATAACTTTGGGCTGCTTTGTCCAGGGCTGCTGGGCTATTGTGGCGCAAAATATCAGAGAAACCCATCGAAGGGAGTACAAAATGCAAGCTCTTTCTTGCAGGGTCTCTTCAGATGACACAATGAGTGCTACCGGCTTCCTTATTGCTCTTGTCTGGCCTGAAGCAGCCATCCAAAGGAGAGAAACCTCATTTTGCTAAAAACGAATAAATGCATAAACGTTCCTAGAACTCAGCAAATAATTTTAAAGTGGCATCTGCCTGTTCTCAAAACAACTGAACAGCAATCAATCACATGTTTTCCCTCGCCCCCACTGAATTAATTGGAAAAAAAAAAAATCCCTGCTTCTCCAATTCCCCGAAACCTCGGGAGTCAAGACGGTAGCAATAATTAGAAGCTCTCCAGCTTTGCAGAGCTACTCACCCCTCGTACAGCATTGCAATTGTGTAGGAAATTGCCACTACAGCTGTCAGCAAAAGGCCAGCTGGGCTTGCATGCCTGTTTTGAAAGAGAAGGAGAAGAGAGGTAAATACATGGGCTTATGCAAGGCACGGTTCAGAAAGTGAAATGAGACGGTCGACGCCACGAGAGCGCTCTCTCGTTCATTAAACAGAGGTGAACAAAAGGTGCTTTTCTTTGTACTTAATGTTAACTGGCTTAGGCAGATGTTACTTGGCAAAGCTTCCTCCCCAGCCTACTTCGGTGACTTCTTTTAAGTAAGATCCCTGCACATCTTCGCTGGGAGAGCTTCTGCTTTGATGATAAATCCCGAGATTATCCAGCTGTTTCCTAGCTGAGCTGCTGGTTACGTCAGCCCGTGGCTCCGAGCCAACGCGCTATAGGGGAAACGTGTGATGTGCACAGAAACGCGGACGCCCGGGGTGGGCGAGACGCCCGGCAGCACCGTGACACCCAGGGTGGGCGAAACGCGAAACGCAGAGACGGACACGCAACAGGGAGCAGGTCCGCGGTTAAGACTCAGAGACGGGTCACCGGTGATGGGCTGACGGTGGCGAGGCCAACGAATCGGGATGGAAATACCCCTTGCCGGAGTCATGCAAGACCCGTCCGTCCCCGAGCACCAGCCTTTCCCTGCCTTTAGCAAGCGTGACTTCATTTGCAGTTGCACGTCCTACCACGCCTGCTATGCCTCCAGCTACGGGCTGCCAGCGCCGCCCTTCGTTGGGGGGCTGCTAATTGCCTTGAATCGCCGGTTGCAGCTCAGCGCTGCGAGGGGGTGAGAGCTGGATGTCAGCGCTAAGATGTACGTCGCTGTTGCCTGCTGAGAATAAACATCTCGCAATCCTTGTGGAATGAGGACCGTCCTTGTCGGAGAAAAAATGCCTTCAGAGGAGGAGAGGTCAAGCCACCTAAACGTCGGCGCCGCCGGGATGCCCTCGATTCCTGGAGAGACGCGCACGAAGCTTCACCTTTCCACTGTTCCTCTTTTGCAATAAGTTTCTTCCTCATTAGGAAACATCAGGCAACAACTTCTTCTCCCAACCGCCCGCTATTACATGCTTAGTCATGTCTCCTCCTCGATTCGTATCAGAGAGAACAAATTTGCATGATTGTTTGTTGACAGCAAGACCTCTAATTGTATCATTTGGCTGCAGTGCCAGCTCTGATTTACACAGCTTGTTGCCATGACTTAAAACATTTTCCCCATCCAAAGATATGCAGAACCATCCCTGCACAACTAATGCTTGATTTGTCTTTCAGGAGCAGATGAAAGCTTGACCAGGATAACGAGAAGCATTTGGGTAAATTGTTTTTCTCTTCTTACAAGCTTGACCTACTTATTGGCAATGGCTCATTTTGCAGCAGGGTGGAAGGGGGTTCGAGCAGGGAGGTTTTTTTGGTGCTGGCTCCTTGCCACCTCCCTCCTGTCCTTGGTGGGACGCCGTCTTTGTGGGCCTGCGAGCATCGCTCCGCTCATGGACCGCTGCGTTCGAGCCCTCCTTGGACAGCGAGGGGCAGCTCCAGCTTCCAGCCCCCCAAGGGGACACACGCTCATAGCGATGACCAACTTGCAGCTGCAAACCTCCCCGCCGCACATCCAGATCCAAAGTTATTTGGAGAAACCTCATTTATTACCATGGAGCCAGACAGCCCACACGCGGGGCTGGCCCGTGCTCCCCTTACGCACAGCGCGGGGGAACGCACTCCCCAAAAGCCCCATTATTCACTGTGCGCAAACAGGGTCAAAATGCCAACTTCGGCGTATTTTGTGGACGAGTTTATTTTGGCTGTGGAGCAGCCGTTCGTCGGGCCTGGGATATATTTGCAATATCCTGCAAGGAAAAAAAAAAAGTGGCTTTTGCTCCGTGCGATGCTTTTAACGTCGGATGTCAGGGCTAAGGGCAGGCTGCCTGGTGCAGCGCCAGGCTCGCTGACATGACGCGGTATGTGCCCTGGGAGACGGAAATGAATCAGTCCCTTGGGCTCCGATGCCACGATACGGAGCGTGATACATGGCTGAGGGAGGAGAAACACGCGCTCCGCTTCAGGCCCGTCCAAAGCCAGCCCGGGGCGCGCGTGCGGCATCCCTCCCGCGCCGCCGCGGACCCCTGCGGGCACGTGCCCAAACTCTCCTTAAAGCCCTGGCAGCTCAGACACCCGAGCTCAGGCCCCCTGGGAAGAGGAACGGCCAAAAACGCCGCGCGAACGGGTTGCGCGGAGCCCCCCAGCCCG